TGCGAAGTGGCCGCGCGTTCTGGGGCCGGAGTGGCGGCGTTCTGCCCCCCGGGCTGGCAGCTCCGCGTGGCACAGCGGCTCGTGGCAGCCGCTGGGCACTCTGGAACGGCACCGCAGCACCCCCGCCGCTTGCCGTGTTCCTCTGGGCTGCGGCGGTGTCAGCACAACCCGGGGTCTCGACGTTCCCTCCTGCTCCGCCGCTCCAACCACGTGGCAAGATTTTGTAATTCGGCTCGGTATCGCACGCTGGGGTTTGTCCACCCGCCAGGGCACTGCCAGCTGCCTGTGCTCTCCAGCATGGCGGGGTTGCAAGAAACAGCTCGTTATAAAGCAGTCCTGGGGCGAGGGGAGCGTTCAAAGAAGCTCGACCGTGTGGGGCAAATGTTTGGTGTTGCTCTACCCGCCCTGGGCTTGGAAAGGTGTCCCAAGCTCCCTCTGTCCCCTCCGGAGCCCTACTCTTGGTCCACAGTCCAGCATTTTTATCTGTCTCATTAAGTCAAAAATAAATCTCCAAGGCTTTAAAACTTTTATAGCATTTTCGTTTCCCTTTCAGACTGCTTTAAGAATAAAATATCCAGTTCGTTTCCATGTATTTATATCAAGGGCAGCCTTTTTGGTTGTGTCCAATCCGTGGTTCTTTGCCCACGTCATTAAAGCTAATAATGCATTTTTATAATATTCTAAGTCCCATTCTTGTAAAAAAAAACGACCACACCTCCAGAATTGGAGGTGGTTGAGTGGATATCCTATGGCTCTGATGAGTATTTTCTTCTATTTTTAAAGGTAAATACAAAAGATAGTCTTGATTTTTCACCACAAACAGCTCTCTTCGCTGTAATTTTTAGATGGCTTTTTCTGCACGCTTCTTACTTCAGCTTTTCTTTGTGTATTAGGCTCTCCATGCCTATTTTTTCCAGCTTTTCGCTGTTTTGGACAGGCCCTTCATGCTGTCCCTGTCTTCCCCTCCGCTCTACTCGCGGGAAAGGCTGTGCCTTCACATGTGGGGTCACCACTTGTAACGTGCCGTTTGTGGGTGGGGAGACGAAAATCCACAACTTGTGCTCCAGGTGCTTATGAGACAAAAAACCTCGTTTATTATTCAGAAGTCACTTAAATACCCAATTCAAATCTCCCAGGCTATACAGCCATTGGCTGAGATCTCTCTCCCTGCCCAGCTTCCTGGACAGTGATGCGCTTCTCTTCTTGAATGGGGATGGCTGAGGGTCCTCTGTAATTTATCCAGGGACATGTTCAGGCATGAACTAGGCTAGCTGAATTGTGTTATGGTCAGATTTACTTTGTCCAGTCCAGGCCAGCTGTACTGTGACAATACTGTGACACATCTCTATCCACCATCTCCATGTGGTTGCAATTGACAGAAAGGCAATAGAAATCATAATCTTATTTTAGTGGATACAATGGATACAGTGGATACTATAGTGGAGCCAACACTGAGCATTTTAGTTATTAGCTGAACACAATCCATCTGTCAAAACTCCTTTTACATAACTTCATGGGTTATGATGCATCTTAAAATGTATGGCGTGTTGCCATGGACATTTTTCCTCCTGTGAAATGCTAACTGATTAAAAAGAGAAGTTTGAGGAGAATTTTTTTGGTTTTTAATTACGAGGTTTAAAACACATACTTTAAGTACTTTTACCAATGATTCAGAAATTTGCTGCATGCAAAAACAGTGAATAAATCTATGGCTCCCTTCTGTTTATGCAGTGTTCAGTTATCAGTGAAGTCAACATGCAGGGGAAATCTTTGGAGCAAATGAAAATATGAGGAGGCATACCCACATAATTTCTCACCTAATGCAGGAAATTAGAGTAATGAAGACATGATCAGTTCTAGCTTGGGTGCTGTTGTACAGACACAGTTTTATGAACAGTCTAAGCTGATACTCCATATCTGGAATACTGCATATTCTGTTCAGCTAGTGGGTAAGAAGTAGATAAATCATGCTAAAACCAGTTACAGAGAAGGGGCAATAATCCCCTGAACTATTTCAGTAAGGTCTCATCTGCCACAATGACATTTCTGTCACTATGTATTACTCTTACTCAAGTTAGAAAGAATGATTCTTCTTTGGGTGCACCTATCCACACCACCAATGTTAATTTCTTCATGGTGTTGTCATTTGTATCAGTTGCATACTGGGATTAAAATTTAATTTTAAATTAATTATTTTAATGGGTTTGGATAATTAATTTAAGGGTTATGTAATAGGGTAATATTAAGGGTACCAGTAGAAAAATAAAGCTTCCTACCAAATCACTAGTATTTTTTAAATAATTTATTCTGAGTAGACGGAGTCATAGCAGTCTCTGGGTGAATTTAATATACTATCTCCCTTGCTGTCCTATCAAATTAAAGCAATTTACCATCTTCTAGGCAGAAATGGAAAGGAAAGCAGAAATGAGAGAAAAGCACTAAAAAAGTGTATATTAGGGAAAATACCATTCTCTTTTGTTTATATTTCCTTTAAAAATGCCAGTGTCACTTGAAACTCAAGTCCCTACTGGAAGCTTTTATGTTAGTTTTCTTGTTTCCAGGTTTTTTCATAGTACAATATGAGGTTAAGAAAACTCCACTTTCCAACATCAGTTGGTGTTCTGTCTTACTCATGTCTGAAATACATACTGGAAGGGAGCTTTTATGTTACACTCAAGGAGTATACATCCTTTGAGATAATGAGGACCTAAAGGGTATGTCATAACTACATGAAACCATTCTAGAAAAAGGTCACATCTTCAGCCATGGTATTGAAAAGCTCACAAGAGAGTCAGGGAAAAATACTCCTTTCCATTTTCAGTTTTCAGACACATTTTCTGGAACTTACAGCAGCAGATATATTGAAAAATTAACACTTACGTAATGATTTATACCAGGGACAATGCTTTGTTGACTTACACAAGCATATAAATGTTTTTTACTGAATCATGGATAACCATTCCTTCAAGTGTTTTTATGTTAGCATTTCTGAGCCCTAAATCTATACTTTGTGAAAACCAGAGGATACTTAGAAGTATGATTATCACTAGTTTTGATCACCGATTTATTGTGAAAATAGTGTATTGAAATACCTACCATTGGCCTCTATTCTCTTTTTTAAAGAACTGGACCTCTTAATGTTACTAAAAGTAAGGTATTTATACTGAAGCATATGAAGGATTTGATGCTTTCAGCTTTCTGCTAACTTCTATGTCTCTATATCCACCTCTGGGACTGAATTTAACGCTGTAAAATGAGGGAAACAATGTCTACAGTGTGCCTTTGCAATCTCCCTGCAGGGAACCTGGAATATGGGTACTGGGGACTGTGGTTGAACCCAGAGGACACTACAGAGAACTTGGAATAATCCAGCCACACAAGGCTGGGCTGGATGAGTACCATCAGTGTATCCCTGAAGTGCAGAGGGGTCTGTCTCAGTGTAAGTCCTGCTGCTAGGCTTGTCTCCAGGCTGGAGATCTGGCCCTGGCTTTTCTCTGGACCTGCCTGTAACCCCAGTGATAGTCAGTTCAGGGCTGTGCAGGTGCCTACTGGGAACACATATTCACCCCTGCTGCTGTTGGATATGGAGGCCTGGGACTGTGTCTGCCATCCGCATATACTGCTCCTGCCATATCTCCTATGGGACTCACTGGAATTCCCCCATGCTTCCAGTGCCACTGTGATGTCAGTTTGTCTACACAGGGTACTCCAGAGATCTGGTCTTCCCCTTATCCTTGCCATGTACAAATTAGGTCAGTCTCTTCATCCAATCCAGAGATAACCAGTGAATGGGGGAAGAAAGGTAAGTGCAAAACTTAATTTACATAAGTCTTTATACAGAGGTGTAGACATGAATTTCCATTATCCAATGACTTGCTTTATGGGGAAGACCTTTTTTACACACTGAGAAACCCATGTAACAAATCCCAGCAGATGTACCATGTTCCAGAGCTATGTTGAGCTGCAGAGAGAACCTTTTGCTGTTTGTCTTCTTTCCTATTGGCTGCAAAATAATGAGGCAGCAGGATCAGTGAGGATTAACCTGGGGACCTGAAGAAATCCAGTCTCCAGCTGTGACAATCTTGATGACTGGCAGTTTAAACAGGAGTTCAATTGTGCAGGTGACAGTAGGAAGAAAGGCAGCTGGGAGGTAAGCATGTATGAGCAGGATTGGTAGCTCCTTTAGGGGCTGCTCAGACCCATCTGTAACTGAGATGCCCACTGCAGCTATCTGGGGAACTGGCTGAGGGACCAGGGCTTCCTCATGAGTGCAAATCAGGAGAATAGGTATCTCTTTCTCTTTGTGGGTACCCACAAGATAAGCATGGAGACTAAGTCTTGATATCCACAGGCCATGTCTTCTCCTGCAGATAGGAAAGACATGCATCTTTTTCTGCCTGATACTGTCAAAAGAAGGCTCAGAGAGATAGCTGAGGGCTGACTTACTGCAGCTGAATGTTCACTTCAGAGTTTTATTTAAAAGTTGCAGTGGATTCCCCTGACCCATACCCACCCCAGAAAGCCAAGCAGAAGTCTCTAGAAGTTCTAATGATGTTCCCTCCTGTAAGCAGTATGGGTAGAAGCTGTTTTAGTCTCTAATTTATAACCTAAAGGAGATCAGATACAGCCATAATGCTTCTTTTTTTCAGTTCTCTGCTGTAAGAAAACATTTTAACAGAGCAAAAGCATGATATTTTAGTAAAAGCCTGTCTGCACAACCCAGCTTTCAATCCAGGCAACAATTCTAAGGGCAGTGTCCTTGAAACTCACCGGGAACAGAGAGAATAAAGGAAAACAATGGCATTGTGTACATGGAAAAGAATGTAAAACAATGTGTTAACCAATAGTAGCTTGTTAAACCCCATGAACCCTGTAGGACCCTATAAAAGTGTGCTAAAGATAGAAATAAACAACATTCGCTATACCTCTATGAGAACTCAGTGAATAGTCT